GTGTAGACAAGACAAAATTTCCTGAAAAACTATTGACTTTTAATTTGTGTGTACTGCCATGGATAAAGATGGAAATTTTCTTAGAAATATTGAGATTAAGACATTAAAGGAACTCGTTTAACTGCAGATGAACTTATAGAAATGAATGCAATTCCTATATTGGATAAAAATCAAAATTTGAAAAAAAAATACTCAGCATTATACTCAAATGCAAGTAGGTATGTTATTGTCAGGTATTACAGAATGTGATTATTTAGTTTACTCTGAAATAGGAAAGGATTTAGCTGTAAGAAGAGTTTCATTTGATGAAATACATATTTTGAAAATTTGTGTATGTCTTGTTAATGTTTATTTTGAGAAATTTCTTCCTAGAATAGTTAACGAGTATGGATCAAATTATGACTGAATTTGAATAAAAATAAATACAACTCTGTGTACTAAATTATTTATTCACTGTAAAAATTTATTGCCACTCTTACAATACCCTTCCTATTCATAAGCTTCCCTTGTTTCGCTTTTAGGTATAATTTTCAATAACTACATAAATTTATCAATGTGAATAATTGGTGAACCCAAATTTGTAAGACCACCAACAGTAATTAATATATCATCAAAATAAGGCACCGGTGACCATGGTAATGGTCCACATAGAAGTTTCTATAGTATATTGTCGTAATCTCTGTATCACTCTCTCAACATGCACTCTTGCCCGTACAATCTCTGCAGTGTGGATTGCATCTTCTTTGGTCATCTGCTTTTCTGACTCAAGAAAGGAGGCCTGACAAGCTGAAGCAGACGCTGTAACAAGAACATTAATATGTAAATACATTGCATAATTAATCAAATGTTATTTGTACTAACTATTCAATTAATATCCTTAACTAACTTCATTACATTCGGATTCAATCCTGTATCCTTTATCCACCATCACTCCATCATCAAACTCGCATTTATTTAAGATTGCTGATTCATTTACAATATGTTTATTTGATGCTCGACCACCATAAGATGCACTTACTTCAGTTATAAGGCCAGAAGGAGTTATTCCAATATTAAACTTCGCTGTATTGTTTTTTTTATATTGAAAGTATGTCAATATTCTACGTTTTAAACATTTACATTTTTCAATCACAGTTTCAGCACAGTCTAATATAATTCTTGTATTTTTATATTTTGGAATGATTTAGGTAGGTTACTACGTATCATTTCGATACCAGGCCAAGGAATAACAACTTTGAGTACTCTACTCAGCATGGGGCACATAATATTAAAATAATTAGAACATGTCTGCCTGTTTATACCAAACAAAACACCAATGGCTCTAAATGACATATTTTGTTTAATTTTTACCATTGTCAAAATAACTCTGTCTCTTACAGATAACATTTTCTTATTTATTGGAGCATCTAAGGCCAATTCACTAACACAAGTCACCAATGTTTCTAAAAGTTCTATTGAATGAATACCCGTAAAAGTAAATAAATACATATCACTACTGAGTAAATCTGAGAGGGTTAATTGCTTTAAAGCTGATCTATCCTCTTCCCACATAGGAAGAAAATTTATTTGAGTGCACTTTTCCAAAGGTTCTTTGTCACAAAGAATGTCAGCTATACTCCAATCTTCTCGGGGACAATAATTTCTGTAATCCACTAAATTGACTTGTGTCGATGAAGTCATGACATGAAGATGACTGTTGTTATCAGTTATATTATTGTCCTCAAATCCATCTTGAAATTTAGTTTCTTCATTCTCAATAGCAAGTCCAAGCACTTTATTTGATTCCACTATTTTCCTGTGTCTAATATCAGCCCTATTTTCTGGAGCAATATTGATTTTATTTTTTGGGCTAATGGTACTTCTTTATCAGAGCTTCTTTTAGGAATATTCTGAGACGGTACGACATAAGGAAACAACTTCTGCCTTTTAGAATCTGGCACAATAAATAATCTCGTTATCTTACGAGAAACTCGCCTTAGCGTAAACTAAATGAATAACATAGGAAATACATATAAATATAATTTATGTACAATAAAATAATTAAAAGATAATTATACTTACTGTTTGGAAAAAAGTCTGAAGCTTGAAAATGATGAGAACAAACTCTCATTGATGGTGAAATTGGCTTGCCTATTCCTAAAGCAGTCTTTCATTTTTTCTTCATAATTTTGTCTTTTGGGAATAAATGAAAACTTATTCCCGTATCTCCGTAAGTACTACATTGAGGAACGCAACAATATTCCGTATTCCTGCTTTTATTAGCAACAGGTTTCCGTATATAATCGTGATCCATCTGAATAATCTAAAGTCTAAACATAACCTCAACCTTCTAAATTTCGCCACTAGAGGCGTTCGGATAATCTTTGCATCGCCTATAGCTGTGCCCCACGGTTTCACCCGCGTATATCACGTGTCTGCGCCACTCGAAATGACATGACACCTCGCTCGTTTAGTTCATTCATTTTAGCTAAAAAATTGGTAAAATTATTGTAGTACTTTTATCTATCGGCATAGATGTACGTTATACAGCAAAGATAAATATTATCCACTCTCTCTTCTCCCGGATGAATGCCCCAGAAAGTGCCCCAAAACGCGGTTTTTTCCAGTTTTAAAGATAACTGTACACGGTGCATGAAAAGTGTGGAGGTACGAAACGATCCTTGGTGAATTTTCTATCAATCTTTTATACATAAAAAAAGCGATATATCATATATCATTTATAGTTTTTGCGCAATCTGCCACTAAATACGAACATTTCTTATCTTTAATCGATTTTTTTGCTCAAAGTTTAGGTTTACTAAAATTTCCAACTTTACCGCCAAAATATGTACGACTAAAGTAAAGAATAGAATAGGTTCTTTTTCTTTAAATGGAGGTATAAATGATTTCTTAAATCTTTCATTATGATAAAACTATTTATTTGAATAAGAATTAATACTACTATACGACTGTAATCGACTCTTGTTTCGACCGACGATGTAATTAAATTTTAGAACACAAAAGCTACTATTGTGATTTAACTATGATAGGTATATTCCTTACGTGGACTTTTTTGCAGTTAATAATGAGTACTTTAATCATGTAGCACATAATTTTTATGTCTTATCAAGTTTTCTCAGCGTACGCCAAATAATGAATTTTATAAGCAAAATTTTGCTACTTTGGGTTACAATTTTCTTAAAGATCTCCAATTTTTTTTAAATAAATTATAACCTATGCTACTTTGTAATAATTTAACTTTCTATTGGTGAAAAAATTATTAAAATCGGTCTTGTAGTTTTGGAGCGCATTCGATACAAACAAACAAAAAATCTTTCTTCTTCATAATTTTAGTATAGATAATGAATTTTTTTTGAAAAGTTTTTGTTCTTTTTAAATTTTGATTTTTTAATTATTGTTGTTAGAAATATTATTATATTATTTATAAAAGATAATATCCACAAAACATAAGCCATTAAATTTATTATTTCAGAGCTTCCCTGTAAACGATATTTGATATTGTTTTATTTTGTGGCAGCAAAATATCCTCAGTATATGAGGTAGTTGACCAGCTGATAGGCCGGTGATGATGGTCGCTACAGTTAAATTTTCCTTCAATTCCTTAATAAGTAGCCTCATCCCATTGCACTTGCTCGGGGGGCTTAAATTTCTCCAAAGTATGATTGGCGTTCCGATCTTTAACGTCAATTCGTGTGGTGGCAGTCCAGAAGGGTTTAGTGAATTTAAAAATTCCTGTGGGTAATGGACTGCATCTTCAATATTAGTCACGGTGTCGATCGATTTGTAATTTTTTACGCTGGGGCTTTTTGAATAATCAGATTGTTTATTTCGTTGACGGTATCATTCCTAGGCGACGCTATTGCTCTAATACACAACCAATGAACGTCGTTTTCGTGCAAATTCTCGATGTCAGGGTGAACTGTATCTATTAAAATTTCTAAATTATGGACTATTTGGCCTAGAGACTCGTCCAGAAGGACGTCACAATTTCTGCTTAAATATGGAGCGGGAAAAATTTCTTCCCTAAGTTTTAGCAGTTGTTGTGGGAAATCACCGTGATTCCATGAATATGAGCGCTCATTTTTGCCCGTTATTTCAAATTTTCTATCGAAATCCATAAGGGAGACGATTTCAAGCTTGCTTTGATGATATCTGCTCGCGTACCTCTGTTAATGGCGGAAAGAGTCTGTCGGAAATCTCGTGCAAATACAAAAGTGATACCGAGACATCAACACGGACGGTTGGTGAATTAACAAAGATTTAAAAAGAGAAAAATTTTACTTAAATGACATAGTTGATGTAATTGTTGGTTATGGATGCTACATGCACATGTACCATCCATAACCAACGAACAAAAGTACGAACTTTTTTGTAGATATTGTTATCTTTTATAAAACTGTTGTACATCACTTTGCTCTATTGTCAATAGTTTTCGCAGCGTATTATAAGGATTTTTCGGCGTTACTATTGCGTATTTTAACATGACATAGTAGTTGTTGTGACATAACTGTAATAGTTAGACATATGGTATCGCAAACTTTTCTTAGATATTAGTATCTTCTATAAAACTGTAGTACATTACTTTGCTCTATTGTCAATAGTTTCTGCAGCGTACGCGATATAAGGATTCTTTTGGTATTTTTTTACTTTATTCGGTATTCTTTTACACCGTGGGTTACATTAACGAACATTTTATACGGATACGGATCCCCAGCTTTTTTGAAAATATACTATAGCCTATGTCCTGTAGCCTTTAAAAGATAATGTAGGATTCCAATGGTGAAAGAAATTTTCAAATTGGTCCAGTAGTTTTGGAGCCTATTCAATTCATATAAACAAATTTGTCGTCTTTATAATATTAGTGTAGGCTATTTATTTAAAACTGAATAAAATAATCTTTACTTATATAATAAATTTTATAAGTTAATCACGACAATCATACAAGTTATCAAAAGAACTGTTGTTTGTTTGATAAAAGGTCTCTTTTTTCTTGCTCTCCTCTATTCTCTCTTCATGTTCTTAACGATGCTTTTTAGTGCAGCTCGATTAGGTTTTGAAGTTGATGTTAAAGGAAGTTCCTTCATGAAAATAACTCCACCCCTTAATTGTTTAGAGTCAGTAAGAGAACCTGTAAAAGATTTGAAATAACCATTAAAATCTATTAAAGTCGTTTCTAAACTCAGGTCTCCTCCATAAATTGCTTCATGTTGTATAATTTGTCTTAGCATTATAACTTCCTAAAATTTGAACTAATTATATAAAAAATTGAGTATAATTTTCGATATGAGTTGAAATTATAGAATGGAAAATGTTACAAACATTCATTAATTTTTATTTACATTCTTGAAGTGAACAAGAGATTTATTTTTTTGAACTTTCCATATTACGAGGTAGGATGTCGAAAGATTACGTAACTTTAAGGTTTTTTTCTAACCTTATTATTTTTTAATAATGCAACTTAAAAATAAGTAAGTATTAAAATAAATACATGTTATAAGCCAGTGCTTAACAATCCCACTGGTGGTAAGTGGTGACGTAGCCCTGGATAGTAAATTGGTATTTTTATTTAAAATCCTGACGCAACTGTTATCTAACATATTATATTTATATTTTTACTCTTTTGTCATAAAACACAATATTCTATAAAAATCGCATTGAAACCGAAAACACCAAAAATACCAAAAACATTGTATGTCTTAAAGTGGTGGGGATGTCGTAACGTATTGCGGCAGTACACCTTTGAATTTACCGGATGTAAAACAAAGACCAGAATGAAGATCGGCGTCAAAACAGTGTGTTTAACTATGGTGGGATTGAATTGATTCATTTTAAGGCGTCGGTATCGATTATAAGGCGATGCATTTTTTATTATTTTTTTTTATACTATATCTAAGCACCGACATTAAAATGTGAAGTAATTATATCCTTTTTAGTTCTCTGAAGTCGGCTTTTATTTTTTTATTAAGTTATTTTTGACTTTACAAAATATTATCGTCAGGACTGGTAAATGATTCCCACCAGAGTAACACAAACGCACTGTTGTTACTGCGTTCGTTGTCCAACTTCCAAGCGTACAAAGGCTATGGCAAACATCATACATGGGAGAGACCATGTCCAGCAGTGAAGTTATACGGGTTGGTAAAAAGGTTAATACGGGTGTCTTCAAGGCAACAGTCTTTTGTTAAGCTAAGCCAGTGCGCTTTACCACTTTCGGCTGCATCAACCACTTACCATCAGGTAGAATAGTAGAAAAAGAATGGATTATTATAGAAAAAAAAACAAGGATAAGGTAGGATACTTTTAACTAAATCCTTAATCTCTTGAACAGTAAGCGTATGATTGTTTTGTGGCACGACACACGCTACTGGCAGTTCACTACACTCTTCATCCGGTATTCCGGTCACAACAACGTCGTAAACGCCAGGGTGTGTCCGTATAACCTCTTCAATTTCTGTAGGTGATATCTGAAAACACAATTAATATTATTCTATTAACAATGCTCATTTAGGGGCTAGGCGCCTGCCTTAATTTCAAAAAACGCTATAAATCCTAGTTCGCTCCCCGTTGGCATCAAAATAGTAATCGCTTTTTAAATGCAGGTTAATCCTTTATTACTCTGTAATTAACGTATTCGGGGTTATAAATAAGATTGTACATAAAGACATATCCGTCAGGCATTGGCGCAGTGCAGCAAACTACCCTTAAAAAAAGGGTAGGCATGCCCGAGTCAAAGACAAGGACGGGTTATGTCGGACTCGCACCGACTAAAACCCTATGACATTCTACTTTCGCCCATATCGCAAAGTACGCCGTCCTCTGACTAGGAATGAAACAAGCACATGCAAGCACCAGCTTTCCTGACCCCAGAGGCGTATCTAGTTTGGTAATCCGTCGCCAACCAAGTTTATTCCTCCGTGGCCCCAACACCACCACATCAACGGTGTGGCTTTGCCAGAGTTGCGTAATAAAGGTCGAGTGGCGCATCGCCATACCGCCATTCCTCTGAAGAGGGAGCTGACACCACTCATTTCACAATCCGCCAACGCGCACTCGGAGTGGGTTAGCAAGCCCCTCGAAGTGGCCACCTCGGGCCGGCCCTACCTATTTGTTTACCGTGGGTCCCTAAGCCACGGTGACTAAGCCCTCAGCTATGACAAGGCGGGAAATAACTACAAATACTTGTTTTTGTTTTGTATTTGTAGGCTTTATAGATACTTGTGTATATTTCTTGTGTCCAGTTTTTTTTTTATAGAAGATAGGAGGAAGGGGGCAAACGAGCATGCGGCTCACCTGATGTTAAGTGACTACCGCCGCCCATGATCAACCGCAACACCAGGGGAATAGCAGGTGCGTTGCCGGCCCTTTAGAAAGGAGTAAGCTCTTTTCTTGAAAGTCCCCAGGTCGTATCGGTCCGAAAAAATCGCCGGTGGTAGTTTATTCCACAGAGAGGTTGTACGCGGAAGAAAACTTTTGAAACGTACAGTGGTGGACCGCCAAGCATCCAGATGGTGTGGTTGGTATCGGGACGTTTGTCGCGTAGTGCGTTCACGAAATTTGGCGGCTGGGATTAATCCGAACAATTTCTCAGAGCACTCCCCATGGTATATGCGAAATAAAATGCAAAGAGACGCAACATCTCTTCGCAGCGCCGGTGAATCGAGCCGATCGGAAAGCACTCGGTCGTCGACGATTCGAGCCGCTCTGCGTTGGATGCGGTCAAGTGGAAGGAGCTGGTACTGGGGAGCACCAGCCCAGAGATGGGAACAGTATTCCATGTGCGGCCGAACCTGCGCCTTGTAAAGTTTCAGGCGGTGTGCCGGCATGAAATACTGTCCCACTCTGTTGAGCACGCCAAGCTTTTTAGAGGCCAATTTGGCCTTCTCTTCCAAGTGACCACGAAACTACACGTCACTTGATATGTCGACGCCGAGAATTCCGATACTGGCTGAGTCAACAAGGGGAATACCTTGAAACTGAGGAGATACGACAAAGGGGTTCTACTTAGCGGTTAACGCGCAAACTTGTGTTTTCTGGGGGTTAAACTGGACTAGATTTAGTCGCCCCCAATCCGAGACTCTGTTCAGCAAAGACTCGACTTCAGACACAAGTTTGTCCCGGTACTCGGAGACGTTTTCCCGAGAAATATTGGCACGGCCGGTGTGAAGAGCATCACCAGTGCTGACATTTGCATAGCAATGAATGTTACGGGTTTGCAATATATCATTGATATTGTAACGCTTCCCCCCCTCTCTATAAAAATAATATTATAATAAATATAATCAGGTCCCCTTTATAATAAAATTATATATATGTGACCAGGATAAATAAGATATGTTTTGATCTTTCTAAAGGTTTAATAATAGGTCGTTTGTAATATTTTGGCGTGATCGTCTTAGTTAGGACCCTTATTTACGTTGTGTTTGTTTAGTAACTTAGTTCTTTTAGGTGTCTTTTGGAAGAATGAATATTCACTAGAGCAATTGAAAGCTGTTGGTAGTGCCTTATAAGCTAAGTGAACCCCGTTCACGAAGATAGGGCTCGAGAAAGGTTAAGAACATAAAACGTCCTATTCCACTTGTATCAGGTTTACATTATTAATTATCCCTTCCCGCTCGGAAAAGGCTCAAAATATATTTATACAAAAAAAACCGATACAAGGGCTTCGCTCTCCCACATTCATTTAAAAAAATGTAAGGGAGGCACACGGCCCCACACACACGCCGTGCACGGTGAGCGCCAACCATTTTGATGCACTCCCCCCCGAAGGGAACGCTAATTCGGGAACTGGACCGTAGTCCACAGCAAAATAACTGGCGAATTAGTAAAAGAGGCTTGGCGCCTTGTTAGTGCGTAAGCACAAACATCGACCGAAGTCGCGTATGTCAATGCGTGTAAACGCCATACAGAATACGAACGAATCCAGCCACAGTGAATGTACGTCACACGGTTTAGGCAAATAGGCACACTGGCCGTAAACCCTCCCTGAGCGCCACCGCCTGCCAGACCGCCGCTCCTGCAGACGTGATGTAAGTGTATGGCATCATCACCAATTGCATGATCAGCACGGCTACTAGCCGCAGAGCGTGTCGTGAGTCCACCGCTCACCTCAAGGGAATGGGGTCCCACGTTGTGCGGCTTTCGGCCGCAGCCTTGAGAGTCTCCTCAGATCCTCCCGCCAGCTACCACCCGCATGAGGTCGACGCATATGCTCCGCCAACCAATACAACGGCAGATATAGCCAAAAGGCAGTTATAAGATAAGAGTAATAATTCGCCATCAGAAAGGGTTTGTGTCACTGACGTTGAGTAATTGCATTTTCGATCATGTTTGTCTCACCCACCAACATGTTGCCTTCAATCATTCAAAGGTGGGAAAGTTACAGAGATATAATATTATGTTGTTATATAAAACATCGTGGAGGGCAGACAGTCTGCAGCCCCGTAATGAAGGGACCCGACTTGGGCAAAGCTACTCAGGTGTGAGTCAAACCAAGACGTAGACAGCGCCATTGAGAATAGCTTCCCACCAAACAACCATCGCAGAGACGCAATGCTACAGAACGCAACAAACATCAATACGACTATCGTCGGGCTTACACCATCCCAAGGTCCCCCATACATTCCAGCAGACGTCACCACCCGCATACCTCCATCGACCAGAACCACAAGAGTGCGTCGAATCAGGCGCAGCACACCCACAGATCCATCACAAGACGCAATACCGCAAGTAGCAGTAAGCATCAATGCAACTGTCATACGGATGACGCCCCCCTCACAACACACCCACATGATCCCTATCGATTTTGGTAACAAAATTTTTATTGTTGTTATATAAAAAATATCACAAACGTATTATAGTAGCACGCTACTAAGACGCCACTGAACAAAACTCCACGTATCATAGCGCTAATGCACTAAGACATGAAGTTGAGTATGCCTGTTACACTTAAAAGTGCTACCAAACACACTCATCATCCCAATCCGAAAGATAGACGACGCATCGCTATGCGCTACGACGTCGCCCACAAACGGTACGGGTGTGCGATGTCCACGGGAAAGCCGTATTGCTACAACAAACCCGCTTACCACCGGCACTAAGATGATATGTCTAGGACACATCGGTTAGCGAGTCCAAGTTTACCTCGGACCAATTGCTCGTGAAGCAGCACACACGCCACCATAATGTTCCTTTTCAAGTCCCTAATAAGGACTAGTCATTTTGCTACAGTACTAGGAGCAGTCGGTGACCCGACCACCCCATACAATGCTTATGCACAGAGACATTGAAATAATACTAGTTTTTACGGAATTTATCGCGTATATTTAACTTTTTAAATACCCTGACGTTTCGAACGCTTTCCAGCGTTCGAATGGTCACGGTAGCGGGACATCCCGAAAACTAAGTATTATTTCAATGTTTAGTGTTCGCGTAAATATAAGAAATCATCAAGGAGGCCTTCAATAATAATGCTTTTGTATCATAGACCTTACTTTCATAAGTCATTAATATATAGGGTTCGAACCCACGACCCTACTATTGTAATGCATATTCATCATAGAGACCTTCTATAGTATTGCTTTTGTATCATAGACCTTACTTTCATAAGTCATTAATATATCTTTATAGTGTTCGAACCCACGACCCTACTATTGTAATGCATATTCATCATAGAGACCTTCTATAGTATTGCTTTTGTATCATTGAGTTTATTATCATAAGTCCCTAATATAGGACTAGTCATTGTGCTACAGTACTTCAGGCAGTCGAGCTCCCGACCACCCCATATATATGTACAACTGCAGGTATGTATTTCCGGCAGCTCATCTATACAAGACATCTATACATGAACACCTTCCTTAGGAAACTTTTCTTTTATACGTGAACTCCTTCCACAACTTCCGTTTTTTCAACTCCTTCCAAGACTTAGACAATTTTTAACAAATTTTTTTTTTTTTTCTAATTATCTTATAAATGTTATTTATCTTTATTTTTATAATATTTTCGACTTGTATTTCTATTATTTATCTTATTTTAAATATTTTTTTCAAGTTTTTAAATAAATTTATTTATTACGGAAAACAATAATTTTGCCTTTAATTTACTATGTTATTGGGCTAATGTCTGAAATTTATATTAACTTTATGTTTATTAATTTAACTTTATTGCTTATTATATATTTTTTAAGACTATTTTTGACGCCCCTTTATATTGAATTTAATTATTAATAATAATATTGGGCCGTCACAATATGCAGAAGAAACAGCGTTGGCGATAGCACGCAGCTTTGTGTAATACCAGCATTAATAGGCTTGTAATCGAAGCTTGCACCATCTACAACGACCTTGATGCTCCGATCTGCAAGAAAGCTCGTGATCCAATCGCACAATTTCTCGGGAAGCCCATAGGAAGGGAGCTTCGAAAGAAGCGCTTTGTGCCAAACCCGATCGAAGGCCTTCGCAATGTCCAAACTAATGGCCAATGCCTCCCCCTTGGACTCTACTGCCTCCGCCCATCTGTGTGTTAGGTAGACCAGAAGATCACCAGCTGACCGTCCACGGCGAAAACCGTATTGGCGATCACTAATCAGCTGGTGATCCTCAAGGTACCTCATGAGCTGGCAGTTAACAATAGACTCCATTGTTTTGGAGAACAAGGAGGTAATGGCGATAGGCCGGTAGTTGGACGGGTCTGAGCGGTCACCTTTTTTAGGGATCGGGTGGACGAAAGCCGTCTTCCATAATTTTGGGACAACGCCTAGGGAGTAGGAGTACCGGAAAAGATGCGTTAAAACCGGTGCCAACTCTGGAGCACACGTCCTAAGCACAATTGGGGGGATTCAGTCAGGTCCACTCGACTTGTGGATATCCAGGGAGAGGAGTGCTTTGCGAACCGAGTGCTGTGTGAACTGAACTTCTGGCATGGAGCACTCACACCGCGGGATGGGTCTTCGGCGGCGTACTCCCCCCGTCATCGAGAGTCGAGTTGGACGCAAAGAAAGAGCCTAGGAGATCGGCTTTCTTCCTTTGCGGTATGGGCCAGTGAGTCGTCCTCCCTGTGCAGAGATGGAAGAGATGGCTGACAGAAATTCCCCTGGACAGCCTTGGCGAGAGACCAGAATGTACGGGTTCCAGAAGGAAGGCGAACTAGTTTCTCGCCAATTCTGCCTATGTGCCCTGACTTTGCCTTGGCAATGACTCTTTTAAAGGACCTGGAGGCGGAATTATACATATTTTTTAGAGCGCTGGTGTTTACATCCCGGGACGTTGATACTTCAGCCCAGGATTGGTAGCACTCCTGCTTATAGCATGATGCTATTTTACAGGAGCAACCGAACCATGGCTGAGATTTGCCTCCAATGGGCACCACAGAGGAAGGAATAAAAAGTTCCATACCCTGAAGTAACACATCAGCGACAGAATCCGCAACAATGTTGGGATCGTCCGGCGAGAAGCAAACCCGCCCCCAAGGGTAGGATGCAGTGAAAAACCGCATCCTATCCCAATCGGCACTTATAGTGCCAAACACGGCACCAGCCCACATAATGCAACTGCGATTTCAGCGTGAGTGGCACCACACTCCGGGCAAGACAATGGTCCGAGGAGTCTAAAGGGGCTTCGTCGGAAATCTGATATCCGTCCGGGTGAGAGGTCAGCAGAAGGTCCAACAGGGGAGGTGCATAATCCTCCACATCTGGAATCCGCATTGGCGAAGTAACCAGTTGTGTCAGACCATATGCTAAGGCAAAATCATGAACAGATCTCCCCATCATCGGTTAAATCGGTTAAATGTGGCCGCCGTCATGATCGGTTAAACGTGAACCAAGTCATTCGGCGTGCTGGGCGTTAAAGTCGCCGAGGATCTCGATCTCTGCGGAGGGGATTTGCTGTAGCAACGAATCTGTAGCCATTTGGACGTGGTCGAAGAGTCGGTCTCTTTTGGCATTTCCCCTATGAGACCTATAGAGGCACCTGTAGACACGTAGATGGTCATCGCTGTCTATGCGTAGCCAAAGGATGGACAGGTCCAAACCTTCAAGACTGCCGAGGCGTCGAGAACAAACGTCCTCTCTGACGTAAACGCAAACTCCAGCCCGAGGCACAAAGGAGTGTTCCAGTTTGTACCCAGGGTAGGAGAGATACGAGACATCAGCCGGAGAGGACACCTGCGTCTCGGTCAGAAAGAGCAGAGCCGGCCTCGCCGTCTCGTGATGGCAGTGGACGGCGTTTAGGTTAGAGTGAAGTCCCCTGATATTGCAGAAATTCACGGACAGCGTGGCAGGGGTCGCCTTGGTCTTGTTGCTCCGTTTGCCCTGAGCAGTTGTAGTGTTGAGCGGAATTTTGTTGTTATGCGTTGAAGTCTCCCATTAACACCGTATAATGAGTTTCGGAGGAATGCATGGCTCTAGAAATATCCTCAACTCATACATTTCCTTAACCTCCTCACCGGGATGTTCCGACGTTGCCGCGTAAACCTGCATGACCTTTAGCGAATACCGTTTGGTGATTCTGAGTATAAGGTACGCAACCTTCGTCAACACACTCCCAATCTTTACAACATTATTAACAAGAGACTTGTGGCGATATATCCAACACCTCCTTGGGATGAATGGTCGCCCTCGGTGATAGAACAAGTTGCCAGATTCGAGAATTACCATGTCCTCGCCCTCTCTTCGGACCTCGGATAATCCTATAATATTCCAGTGCAATTTGTCTATCTCTTCTCCTAGCTCCAGGATCTTCTCGTCAGTCCTCAGGGTGCGTGCGTTAAATGTTGCCAGGTCGAGTCGTCGTAGGTGGCAACCGAACCTTCACCGGAGATTCTTAGCACCCCCTGCCCCGCCGTTACCATGGTCGCCACCGTAGCCAGGAATAGCGGGTCCGCCGGGGACTGGGGACCGCCTATTTGTGTAATTGTTCATGGGGGGTATATGTAATGCTTTGTGGCATTACTTGGGCCTATGTTCAGCAGTGGACTTGTGAAGGGCTGTAATGATGATGATGATAGATAGCTTACTACCCTACTTGTTCCGTGTGGGAATCAAATCCGCCGTTCTAAGCGTTGCAACACAGTGCTAAGCCACTGTGCTGAGCCTAGTGGCCACGGAGCCGTCAAAAATATTATACTTTTAAATAATACTTTGTATCAGAATACGATTAAATACTATAGAACGGTAATATGCCAGGAAATTACCTGGTGATTCCGATATTTAAGAAGCAGTTTCATGCGATCGACAAAGAAAAAGTTCCAGTTCTCGTCCCTGTAGAAAAGATCACCTGACTTCAACCATTTATCTTCTGTGAATATTTCAGCTGTCATTTCAGGATTATTATAATAACCCTAGAAAAATAAATGTATATTTAAAATAATAATTTAATGTTTTATAGAAATTGTGCGTCTTAACACATTCATTGCCCGATTTTAGACACCTAGACTCTTTTCCTTGGAAACGAGGCATTGCACCTTCCAAAATGCAGATGGAGGTCATCCCTAAAGTCTTTAGGGGTGACCTCGCATCTACATTGATTCTTTGAAGAGATGCAGATGGGTCATTCCAACCGTTCGCGCAAATCGCATTGGAATGGAAATAACCGATTTTAAAATTGAGTTATGGAACCCGTGTATTTTTATAACAATTCTCTGAGTGTAAGAAATTAGGGACTTTAATAAAATATCTAAAGGGAATCATTTAGAGATTTCATAAAATAAATAAAAAATAAACTAAAATTTCATCTTCATCCAATATAAGATTATAATATTAATAATTAAAAAATATTTTTATTAAAATATTGCATGAATATAAGTCCAAGTATATTAACGAAACCTACTCTAATATTAACCCTAGTTTTAGTATTATACACTATATTCACGTTCTAATCATATAAATTTCGAGTAGAGCCGATCGAGAGTCGTGGTAGCTTAGGGGCTAAGCGCTCGCTGCATATTACACAGTACGCGACTAACCTGGGTTTCATGGTCCCGGTCTACCCGACCCGGGAAAGACCACGCTTTCACAGAATGGACTGTGTGATCTTTTGTCACCCTTATTCTATATAAAAAAATAAAGACAATGTCAATTACGCGGAGTAGAGAATGGATTAATTGTTGATTGACTGCGGATCTTGAAATGTAAAATGTCAATAAACTATTAAAATAGAAAATAGGTTAAAACGCATACTCTTATAAAATAACAAAATAACCATACCTTAAAAGTTATCGGTCCTTTAAGCCAAAGTTCGCCTGTTTTGTGGGGTTCCAAAACGTCTTTTACCGTTCCAGGATCAACTAACTAAAAATTATTGTTAGCCTTAAACAACTTTTTATTATTATAAAACAAGTTATCAACCGAGTTCAAACAATGAGAAGGTTATACAACATGTAACAAAAACCCTGTGGTAAAAAAAATATTTATATACTCGGATACCGATTCTGATAACACACTTAACGGGTACCACAGGGTTTTTGTTACATATTGTATATTCGACGTGTGTTTTTAATTAGTAAATTCATTAATTTTTCGAAAACGGCTGAACCGACTTAAATATTTCTTTTTTTTAATGGGTTATATTCTATATAAAATTAAAAAAAAATTATATTAATATTGGCGGAGCGATAGGGTCTCGGGTTCGATTCCCGGGTCATATTTAAAGTTAATTTAAACTACTAATCCTAAACCTAATTTAAACTACTAATCGTAAACCTAATTTAAACTACCAATCTGGCCTAGAAAGGCAATTTAAAGCTATTGATTGGGCAAAGGGCATAGACGGACAACAGGACGCTTATATGACCCGGCCGTGGTCTTAACGTAGTTACCCCGTCGGATCCGGGAGAAACTTCGACTATCCCCAAGGGCCAATGAAGAGGCGGCATATTTTCTTTGGTGAGAGCAACCACCGTTCTGACCGTTAATGGTTTAGTTGTTATGTTCCATTTCTGCCAAGACTGCAACGTATGTAAATATTCCGTTTCCCATCGCTTCCAAAATGACTGCACCAGCCAGTCTAATAAGTTATGGCGTGAAAGAACATTAAATTTGTCCTCGTCTATGTCTATAGCGGATAAATGCTTCAAAGGGGTTAGTCAAAAAATGCGCTGAAGTTAGAGCCAGCGGCTCCGAGGGATCACTCGACAACGTACAAAGGGGGCGGCTGTTCATGACTCACTCGATTTGTTTGATTGATCTACAATTACTCGGTATAAATGACTCTTTAGACTCTTAATATTAGTCTCTCAATTCCCCCCAAAATGACTAGCGGTGGGGACGTTGAGAGACCACTCGATGCGGTTCTCAGCTAAGATGTGAGCGAACTCCGAATTATAATATTTAGAGGTTGGAAATTCATGTAATTCCGATAAAATAAGTTTCAACCCTACGTAATTCGTACCTTCGGTATTTTACTTACAAGGCCATGGCGAGAAAGGAACCTTTTAATTGCACCCATGAAGCTAGTCGTGCTTAGGCCACCGGCAAGTTCTATATGCACAGCGCGAGTAGACAAACATACAAAAATACAAAAATATGACTTCGTGGATCTTATACTACGCCCGTGAGTGAGCGTGACCTTGAACGGACCAGCAAAGTCTTACCCGGTATGCATAAAAGGCTTTGAAGATTGTGTTACACGACATGACCAAAGGTCCGCGATTTCCAAGAATGACGGCCTAGGACGAACTCGAAAACAACCTATACATCTGCGCACCCAATTGCGAATTAAATTACGTCCAGAAAGTATCCAGTAATTCTGACGCAAAATAGACTAAACAATTCTGGGCCAGCGTGACAATTCAATTTATGGTGGTAATCAACTAATAAATTCAAAATATGATCCTTACGTGGCAAAACTATAGATTACCGTTGATCGAAACCCAAATGTGAGTTGGACAAGCGCCCAACTACTCTAACGATTCCATTCTGCAAAAATGGCTTGAGGCGTTGAAAGGGCGACTACAAGTCCTATTTGGGGTAAATTATAGGGGTCCGGTACTAGTGTACGGTGTTGGGAGCGGTGTTGGGAGGAGGGAGGGGGTCATGGGAAGTCTCCCCTACGCTTACCCCGTTGCGGAAATGTTTATAGTAATAATTTTTTGTACAATCATAACCTCACTTTTTTATACAGGAATATTGACGCAAAGTTACTTCTGCATCGGCTTCGGTACTGCGGGAAGTGCAGCCCTTTTGCCCTTGCGTAACAAATCGCAGGCACCTAAGTGAGCCGTAGCGGCTGAGGAATAAGCCGAAGCTGCGGAGGCAGGAGCTGTTCTCCCTCCGTGCCTACACGGCTTTACAAAAACACTCTAGGGTAGGGCAGACAATACGTGCTACGTGGGTTCGGGGTGTGCTAATTCGGTTTTATAACTGATGCGACCAATTTTATCTATAAAGTCTAGTTGCCCTTAACTCTGCTATTATAGTGGTAAATGAAATAATGTAATGTGAATTGTTATAATTTTGTTTTCTGAAAAACCTATTGACTGCTCTCCACTGCGACTCAATTTGTTGTATATAAGATCCAGATCAGATCCAGACATAAATGGACAACGGTATGGAAAGAAAAATATCTTTATATAATATAGGGACCGTGAAAAGGACCCAGGTTCGGGGGTCCTCTTGATCCTGCTCGAAGGACCAATTGAAAAGGACCCAGCTTATTCAAACGTTCAACTAAGAAACAGAAGGGAGGAATCGAGGCTTCTCTCGATCCGGCCTCCTATAACGCCTACGTTGGGTTCGGGAACAACGTATGTGATCTCCGCAACGGAGTAACACACAAGGGCGATAACCTCTTCCTTTTCAGCAAGTAGGTTCAGACGGGGATTACGGGTCTTCCGAAGTCGTCCCGGTCCCAACGCCTTAATTCTTCGATGTGGACTGTATAACTTGAGGGATGAATTTCTTGGGAATATAACAGCAATTATCTTCAAACCATTCCGTGAGAGAGTAGTCACTTTTCCCTATCACTTCCCTACACTTTTTCTTTCTTCTTCTTATTGACTGCTGGTATGATTTCCGAACTTTTTCCCCCGAACGATTCCCGAACTTCCTCGAACGAATTGCAATAAAACCCGTTCACTAAGCTACCCCAGAGCTATACGCGAAAGTGAGCCGCGCCATTCGCGCGCTTGAGCAACTCAATTACATGAATTTGTTCTATTACTCTCTCACGTTTTACTTAATTACTTTATTTGCATAAGTCATACATCAACATAATTTACCTGTATAGATAGCACAAAACAATATCTACACTACGATATACATTACATTTTCATATCACGAAAAACCTTTTATTTATTAAATGAAATATGCCTATTTTACTCACAAGTTCGAAGTCGAAATTTCTTAAATATTTAACACAGAAAGTTAAAACAATGTTTTCCACTTGAAATTATACATAAGTTAACTAATACAGTAGTTTAATTTACATTTTCTCTATTTATTTCACTATTTAGAACACTTTTATATTCTTATACAAAACTAACATTATTTCACTTATACACAGGAATTTTCACATAAAAATAACACAGAATTTACCTTTTTAGCACGTACAATCAACCTGAAATGTTTTATAAGTAATTTTTACATAAATTGCTGAAATTACAAACATTTTAAATTTTTACATATTCGGCCTCCTAAGGGCGTGGCCAGCGTGCTTCCGTGAACTCACACTATTTGAACAACTAACTTTTGCACGGCTCTCGGCTATCAGAAAAAATGGAAGTCTGATATACACTAATTTTAACAATATTAGGTAAATTAAATGCTTTTACACAATTTTCGAACTGTAGGAAACTATCTCTAATCAGATTCTTATCAGTTATCATGTTTCTTATCAAACAATATAAGTGAATGTTCTCATATATCAATCATGATAAATAGGCATTTGTTTTCTTACAAAACATATCAAACTTATATAAGACAATACTTATGCAATTAATTTCCGTTAATTCTATTTATGCACAGAGTGATCATCTCGACCGGGGAACAAATCCGTTTGTTTACCCGTAACATAAATTGTATCTTAAAATTCCCTATATGAATTTATTGAAAGATATTACTTAGGAAAACAATAAACTAGTCCGGCCTGGGAGTCGAACCCAAGACCTTCATATCATTAATTCGACATTTCTTCAAGATTTAACTAAGCATTTTCTTATCAGAACCTTGCTATTGGACAATATGCCTTTGAGAAGTTATTCGTCATCGGTTGACTTAATAAACTGAAATATTCTAATAGGCGCGTCGCCAACAGACCGATTAGGGTCATATTTGCATAATATATTTTTGTTGAGGCGATGGTTTATAGCGGTGCTAGAATCCGATAGACAGCAGTCCATTTATTAACGAATTTAAGTTCTAAATATTATAAATATTTAAAATCCAAAATTACTCGAATTAACTACTGTAATCGGTGTAATACCAAAAAATAAAAATTTTAAAACCTGTTTAAATTTTGAATATCATCTCCTACATTAAATATGTTCATACAAAAGTAAGGTCGACACCAAAATTGGAACAAGAAAACTAAAACTAAGATGCAGATTTTGTGTGTGTGTTAGTAGTAATTATTGATAGATCAATTTCATAATAATTATGTTAATGAAAAATAAAACTAAAATTGTAAAATATCAGTGCCATAGGCTTCTATTCCGGTCACCTGTTACAGCCCATTTTTTTCAGACTGTAAAAAAATCATCCGGTATATAAATATAAAAGATAAATATCCTTTAATTTTCTAATAAAAGGTATATGCCAATACAAATATAAAACTTATTTATTGCGGGAGCTTGAGAACTTTATGTTTGATTTTATTTTTGGACTTCTATCTAGGTTAGGATTTTTTTATTATAATATATTGAGCAAATAAAAAAGAAGTTAGAAAAAAAGTTTACTGCGTAATTGTAATTTCCGGAGTTGGGGGCAAATAATGGGGTATGTCTTATACGTTTCTTAGGTACGTTAATGTTTAGTGCAAATAGTAAAACCAGAGAATTTAGGTAGCCAATGTCTATACACCAACATCATATCATACATCTATTTTCTAAGAACGTATAGTATAGTAAATATAGTAAAGTATATACGTGTGAATGCTATGATTCAAATGCCTTATAACCTTTGTCTCGATTCTTTTAATTGGTTGTTTATGCAAATACTACTAGCGTAATAAACACTTTTGATGCAGTTTATGTCCGAAAAAGGTTTGCAAATATGTAGAAGAAACCTTTGACTTTTTAGACTTATTGTACTATTGTATTTACATGCTTTGTCACAGCCAGCTTCTTGTCAAGGGTACCTTTTAGTATTTTATTTATTTATTTCATCTTTTCTACACACCTTATAATGAGGGATATAAAATGCCGACTTATTGTCTTATGGCATTCTCTACCAGTTAACCCTGGCCGATTTGAGAAACTGTGGCAGGTATAAAGATTTTACTAAATAAAATGAGTAATATAGACATAAGATACAATAAACAATTTAAAAGTTGTTTCAATACAGTTACATTAGTTTTATTTTCTTTGTAACGGCAAATAATAATAATATATAATAATAATAAACTTTATTTGACATAAAATATTACAATAAATATTTCAGTGAATCCATAGGCTCCTAAACTAGTGTAAAACTGTGTTTCAGGAGCCAGTGGCTTCTCCCATAACATTGCATTATTAATTTATGCCATAAGATAAGGTACATTATAAATTATTCAGCAGAACTACTTAAATCAAGAAAACAAAAATAAATATTTTGTTTGAATTTTTACTTGATGTTATGTTGCTCATACCTAACTAATGTAAAGCTGATGAAAACGTTGCCACATCTGGCAAACAGAGTTTTTCTTAGAGGGTTTATGATATATTTTTGATTTATAGCAAGATCGATCTGAATTACAAAATTCATCCAAAATGAAACAAAATTTAGCAAAATTGATTGTAAATCAAACGTTTTTAAGCTCCATTGCTGAACAATTCGTCCGTAGCAGGTCTTCCTTTAATTGGTGTCCGAAACTAATATTTATTGAAAACGTTAAGCAATATTATTAAAATTTTGAATTTTGTTGAACCATATATAAAACGAGTATATCGATAAGGCTAGTCTTTTCTATAGTTACCATCACTATAATTGTCTATGGTATATAAAAAAGCTAAAAAACGTCTACAACCTTGTAAAGAATTGATGATGACATTCATATAACTATCTTTTTTATCCTGTAGGAAATGTCATATGCATAAAGAGTTCGGTTAGATGAGGTTTTGTTCTGTTTTTAAGACTTTCTCTATTCAGCTTATACTAAATCTATGGTTCGACTGGTTGATAATAATAATAATAATAAATCATTTATTTCGGACAACTTGTACATCCATACTGTGTTAGTAAAAATGGCTTACAAAGTCTGTTAGTATTTTATTAAATGCGTATAGATGGAAAATTATACGCATTACAATAATAATAATAAATTAATTACCTACAGTTATATTTGTTACTATGAGTGACCATCAGGGGAAAGGGTATGTTCCCGTGATCGTCACTCTTCGCACAAAGCATTTCCAAATTGGAAAAGTAAATCGGTTTGCTAATGTCTTCAGGATGCTATTGGAACTGTTCCTCACTCTGCTAATCAGGGAGTTCGTTTTTTTACGAATGATGGCATCGAAGCCATCAGTTTGGTTATTCCGTAAATATTCCCGATGCACTGCAAAACCGCGGCAGGCCCAACATCATCCTGAAGACATTGTTATACTGGATTCGAAGAGTGTCTAGTCATTTCTTGGTATGTTTGACCCACAGATTTCCCGTGTACATGCTTTGGCAGTATGCCTTAAATAGGGTTAACTTAACCTCTTCTGTACAGCGAGAAAATCTGCGAGTCAACATGTTACCTCTAACCGCGAGAGCCCTTCGCTCCCTTTCAATATCATCATATAACATGCCCCAGATATTTAAACTCAGTCACACGTTTGATGTTCACGCCATTAAGGGTGATATTTGTTGTATTATTGGGACATTTACCAGCAGCCTCAAAGATCATGTATTCCGTCTTTTTTACATTGTATGTAAGCCCGTGTCCAGCAGCATACGTCTCACAGACATTCAGCATCTCCCTCAGACCACCCACCGTGGGGCTAAGCAGCACCCTGTCGTCTGCGTAGCTTATGCTGTTTATACTGACGCCATCAATCCGACACCCAGCATGCTACAGAGATGAGATCGTTTACATATACGTTGAAGAGCCCAGGAGACGTCAATCCCCCCCTGTCTCACCCCGCACTCCAACACATACGATTCCGAAAGAGAGTCTGCCCATTTAAGGTGGTTGATTGGCATATACAATATGATAGTTGAGTGAATCGAAGGCATACACCGGGGTCCCGCGATCAGTGTAATAACGGAAGGTATGCTTGACACTTATTTGGTTAAGAATCGCTTACATTTTTAGTTACATTAAATAATATTTATAATTTACATTAAAAGGACTTTATTCAAGTTTAATGTATGAATGTGTTAGTTTTGTTATGTAATATGTAATTAAGGTTATTGCTCTATCTTTCTGTCTTTATTTATTAAGTAAGATGGAAAATATTAGCTTAGGGGTAAGATTGTGTAACAAGTGATGAAAAAGAAAATGAAGGAGGGAAAAGGGGGAAAGCAAAGTATTGTACACTTACGCGGTAATCTGCGTGCCCTAATGGCCGTCCAACGCACCCTGGTATATAGCTGACTGGGTCTAAAGCAAGTGTTGCAATTTCGCTCATTCCATATGCTGCGTAGACATCTGCAAATGGTGCTACTGTCTGAAATTATTAAGGTTACTTAATTAATATTACTTCTTATTATTAGCCATAATTACATAATATTATTTACGAGGACCTAACGACTCGACCAATGTACAATCTATGGGATCGAATAAAATGTCCATAGAGGTTACGTTTGTTTTTAAAACATGTAACAATTTAATTCTAATTAAATTCCTTCTAGACTGCCTTTCCTCAAATTAACAAGTTGACAACAATGAGGCGGAATATTTGTTCATATTCACTACGCTGCGCACACAGTTTGCTTAGCAGCGTCAATACGAGCACTGGTATTATTATTACCTATCATAAGTTTTAAGAATTAAGGTAGCTTTGCCTATCATTAAATGGGGGTATCCTGCACGAGTCAGCATTTAAAAAAATGTTGCATCTTACATACGCTCTCGTAGAGTCTGCTTTCATTAACTCTTCATATTAACTAATAATACGAGTGCACTGACATTTTATTTTTTTGATTAGATATCATACTATACATCACAGAGAGAAAATATTTGCTTTTTTTTTGTAATAGATAAACTCCAAAAATTATAAGCCGATTTAAAAAAATATTTTCCCTATAGAAAACTACATTATCAGCGAATAAAAGATATATTTTGTTTTAAAAAGTTAGGGATTCCTAAGAAAATTTCTATAATGTAACTTAAGGTATTAAAAACAGCCTAAAAGTCATTACTTCTCGTGTACTGTGAAAAATATTGATGTTAGAATAAACCTATGTACTAGACGTTTATAAAACTTACGAGTATCATAATGTTAAAAAAATAATGTAAAAAAATAACATGTTCCACTCCTGGGCGCAGGTCTTTAGGAGAGGGTTTTAAGGCAATAAAGTAACCCACTGCGCTACCACAATGAATGTTGGCGGACTTCACATATCGTCATTTTCTTTAAACGTCTGAGACATTGATTAAAACTACTTTTGCGGATTTTATTGCGTTTTATTTATTTTATTTTTAATACCCGACGTTTCGGGTGCTTTCCAGCACCTGTAGTCACGGAGGACTGAGGTGACTGACGTCCCGATGTCAAAGTTAACCCTTCAGTTCCTTCAGCTTTTTAATTATTGTCTTTGGTCCGATCTACGCAGAATGAACTAACTGTGTTATGAAGTCTTGCAGTGGTATGCTTGGGTTTAGTTTTAATTTTATTAATTATAGGATCCCAAGCAGGTGGTAGTACTCAGCCTCCTTCTCTATTGAAATTAGGATGTTTTTTAATTTCAATAGCCTCACGTATCATCCTTGGTAGGAATCGATGTTCTTTCGCGAGGATTTGTGGTCTGTCAAATCTGATATAATGGTTGGGGCCATCTAGGATATGATCGCAAACTGCAGACTTCCCGGAACGTTGATGCTTCACGTCACCTATGTGTTCTTTTACGCGGGTTCTAATTGATCTCTTTGTTTGCCCTATATATGAGAGACCCGAAACGTTGGGTATTAAAAATAAAATAAATAAAACGCGATAAAATCCGTAAAAGTAGTTTTAATCAATGCATATATTAATTAATGTATAAATATATAGTGTTCGCGTGAATATAAGAAATCATTATGTCTGAGACATGTCGGATTCCTCACATGTTTTCCTTCACCACCAAGTTAGTAGTAAAGCGGCACTTTAAGGTTGCAATTGATAATTTAATTCTTAATTGACGACGGCGCTCAAGGATATATATATATATATATATATATATATATATATATATATTTATATATATATATATATATATATATATTATATATACTAGCTTGCCAGGCAGCCGTTGTTCTGCCCTTTACGACGACCCTTTGTCATGTCCTATTAAAAATCCTTACATTCGAAAAAAACATTTCGGACACTCATGGGCAAAAAAACTATCCTATCTCTCAAGTTGGACCAAATTGCACACGGTGTGAGAATTTGATTAAAATCGGTTAAGTAGTTTAGTAGTCTATCGCGGACAAACAACGTGACACGTAATTTATATATAATGTAACCTCCCGAGGAGTAGGATGAACTGAAACTAATGCTGGTGGAGCCACGTGTCTAAGGTTGCCGAAGTCTAGTTCCCCGGTCGAACCTTAAACCTATTACGCGAGATATTAATCTAAGTGGACTGTATCTACAAAATGCTTCTACGCTTATATAACGACGACTATAGCGCGCGGTACAATGCACTCGCTCTTCCCTAAAATGAACTATTATTTGCCAAATCGATGAAAGGAATCCTGCTTGATTAGAAAAACACAAAATTGGAGCGGGTTAAAACAATTATATCAAGCAGGCAATATTATTGGATATTGACTCACCGGGATGTTTCTTCTATTCTGTTGAGCACTATAGCTGCGACTTCTGAAACTTCTTCTGGAACACTCCGGAGAGAGGCGGTGCGCGACTATATCTCACACGAGGTGAGGCGGGTTTCCTGGAGCTCGACTGCTTCCAGGCTAAAGCGGTTCTACTAGTGGTGTGTTTCCAACAACGAGCGCGGCGGGAAGAGGCTGCGCGTCGGTCGCGCGTGTCTTATATATCTTCGGTTCCGATGATTACGTGACATTCTAGAATCATCTTCTTTCCCCTCCCACCCCACCACCCCGATGTGTCGATAGGAGGGTATGAATGATATCGTTTTGGAAAGGGATAACCGACTTGGCAACATACCGTCAAATATAAAATAAATACGAATGGTTTTTCCGCGTAACCAAATGCTAATGGTCAAACAATACGATGAAGTAGTGCCGGCCGAGAGTTACGACCTGAACGGAAAGGGCAATGGCGAAAAAATTGTCACCATTACGTATAACCATTACATAAATCATTTATTATGCTTTATTTAATCAAACTTATGGCCTTTCGAAGGCAGAAAAAATCATTATAAAACATTGAGCTATTATGTACTACGTACTAGAGGCGACACTGCATTCAGCTACTCTGTTCCACTCAACTGCGGTGCATACACCGCACTTTAATCAGTCACTCACTAGGCGCTGATAGAGTTGTCACGTGTTGTGTTGATTTAAAAAAAAATCTTTTGATAAAAATATGCCGTCGTGTGTACTTAGATATTGCACAAATAATTCTAGAAATGTCAGCAAAACCAAGGAATTACTTTTCATCGGTTAATAAGATACTTATTCAATAAAAAAAGTATTATAAATTAATAATAAAGAAAATTATTCCTAAAACGCCATTTCGTGTCATGGAATATAGATAATGAAATTAATATGTTCAGATGTGACATTTCTGTGGGCACTTAAGTATAGGATGAATATATTATTATACACATTTTTTTTTGTAGAAACATATATAAGTTATCATAATTAGGCTAAATTTTCCACATTTAAATCTGCTTATTATTCTTTTATTTTATTTTTAGGTTTCCACATCAAAGTCAAAGTGGAATAAATTCGTCCATTTTTAACTCTCGCGTGCCCAGCTTTTATGAACTACTCTTATTCGAATTTAAATAAACATATTTGTAATTTAAATTTTATGTTAATATGTTTTGTTATCATACATTTAGTACGTTTGTTACATTTGACATGGATACCTTTTAAAATATTTAGATAAAAATATCATTAAAATGTAATTGTGATATAATAAAATGTAATAATATATTGAATAAGCAAATATTATATACAAAACAAATAACAAAATTTAAATATTGTTCTCGATATAATTTACCTATTTAACCATACAATCTAGTTTACCTACGGATCATTCTACCTATGTTTATTATAAAAAAAAAAAACAACCACGGGAACACACAGTACCGCACATTTTTTGTTTGAAATAGCTGTTCTAGTACGATAGTATTCTATATTATTTCAATGTTATAAAAATTTAAAACTAAATTGACTAGTTGTTGTAGTTTTTATGATTCGCCAATTAAGGCAGGCAAAGGTCTTATGCATACAGCCTAAACTATTGTGTATTTTAACATTGCTCAATATACAAAGGCTTTATTTTAGAATTTTCTCTATACTAGAAATTATATAGATATTCTTTATAGTGCACAGTTGCAAATTGTATAGACTATTTATTGTTGTTCTAACTAAACGTTTTATACTCTTGGGTTTTAACGATTTGCTAATTAAGTCACGCAGTTTTTATATCATACAACCTAGTCTGATGTTAATTTCCTTCAAATTAGACTATCTTAAATACCTGACTTCATGCAGTAGTTTGACTGAAGAAAAAATTGTTCAGGATTTAAACTCTATACTTTTACATATTTTTCTATTGTAGACACAAGAACAAAATGTCAACAAAAATTGTTTGGAAGTTCGCCTTGTCGTTTTTTTTTGGATTTGGACCGAAGGGTTTTAGCCAGTAGTAGTCCGACATAACCTTTTTGCCCCGCCTCGGTAGGTATCCATGAGGGTATCTCTCAAGATAAAAAGTGGTTATTAGTGTAGTCGGTCCAAAATCAGTAATCGAGGTTTTTATATCAAGAAATTCTGAATATCAGTTCGGAGTTTGGAATTTGTCGGTGTTTCACCCCCGCGCTTCGAAAGTACGTAAGGACATTAGTGTTGTGCCACATCTCTTTCTCTCTCTTTGGGCGCGTGGGATTGCCGTCCCACCAGACTATGAGAGTGTGGTTTCGCACACAATCGTGCACGTTAGCACATGAGTAAATATTACTCTGTGACGTTAGTCTTGTCCTGCGCAGCCGGCTCGTCCCTGTGGCGAATTAAATTCGGTCTGAAGTAGGTACATAATTACATAATAATTATATATTATATCATCCAAGGCTACTTTATAATACTATCAAAGATATGTCAATATTTTGTGATACTTACTTTTACATCATCAATTAATTTTTGCGTTACAGCACTGCCTCCTATTAAGAACAGTCTAAAGGATGTAAAGTCACACTTTTCACGCTGTCCCGGTTTTACTAGGGTGGTCATCATCGGGGGACTGATCATCACAAATGTAGGCTAAAATTAATTTTATTATTAGTGTTCAGTTTCAAAGATTGTTTTTGTTGTAAAAAGTGACAGAGCAATAAAGGGGTAAAAAGGTAAACCCATCATTTCTTCTGTTACTTGTTTAGTTTATCTAATTCAAACCGCTTACGTTGGTCAAATCATTTGCAATGCATTTCATATCGCAGCCGTTTTATAATAGGTATCTTGCTCTTTAATCTAGAACATATGTGGGTGCTCTGCAGCGTAGCTGTAGATATATGTAAGAGAGTGGTATTAACGCATACGATCACTTGATTGAAAGTGAGTATTACCACCTAAATAGCAGGAAAGCGTGTGGTAATTATATCATGGTTAGTTGACCGCTTTCAGTATTCGGTTATGGCTGCAGAGGTAGAAATCAGGAGGGCATTATAATCACCATTACTTAATTTTATGTTCATATTTAGTATGGTATAGAATACGATTTTTGTAGGTCTCTGCCGGGCTAGCATGAGCCGGAGAGAATATATCCCCGGAGAGAGGATATAATTTTATCCCTTGCTTAGTTTTATCCACCCTGCGAGCATGAGCAAGAGACAAAAATTATATCCCCCGATTATATCCAGTGACAAGAGATAAAATTATCTTATCTCTATAGTATATCCCCGTTTGACATAACGAGTAGACATATATCTCCCCGTCCGTAGCATGAGGCCAAGGGAAAGAGAAAAAATTATCCCTTTTTGACATTTGAAAGGGACAATTTTATCCTCTTTCGCGGACGTGGGTTTAAGTTTATCTTCAAACCATTTTAATACGAAAAAGATGTCTCGAGCCTATTGCAACTACATTTTCGTGTCAGAAATTGAAAAACAAGAAAGAAAATTACACCAGCGATGGATACGTGATCAGAATACTTAATCTATTGGAATTCTCCGACAACGAATTTCTACGCCGGTTTCGGATGCTCAAATATTGTTTTGTATTTGTGTAAAGAACTCTATGAGGCTTTAAAGCCTATTACTTCTGTGGATGGACTACCAGTACATATTGAAGTAAGCATCTATTACAACCACCTTGTCCAAAAACATCGTATATTTGCAATCAATACATGTGGCTTATGTAACTTATTTTAATATTTTTTCTAGGTAGGTAGTTTACATCCTTCAGCCTCTTGGCAGAAGGTAGTTACCTACTAGAGAGGTACGATTCAAGACCATGGCATGGCTGTTGTTCAAACAACAAATAATCAGCAAATACTTGACCTAAATTATTGGGGCCATCATTAGAATGTGTGGAGCAATATACTTTAATTAGCCTCTTGTGTAGGTAAATACAAGTTTAAAGACTAATATACATAATATTAGGAATACAAATAACACAATACTCATGATTATAAAATTATTTATTCCTTGTTTTGTTTGTAATCATTACATTTTTATTCTTCATGTTTCGTCATTTTCAATTAAAATTAAATCTTTGTGACTTAGAGTAGACATCAATTTTGATGTATTTTGTAATTTTCTTATAATGGCAGTAATTGCTGGGATAATTTTTTTTTAATTTCCTCAAGAGGATACACCACCTCCAAAGGGTCTGTATCGTCCAGTTTCGCAATTGGCTTAATTCTAGACAAATATTTTTTTAATAAATGCTATCACAAGCGAAGTAATACCTGCGATTTGATACAAGCAATGTATACTTAACTTAAATATTATACAAAAGAAAATAAAGAAAGAATTAGAATAATAGAAAAAAATAAAAACAAGGCAGAAATACGCTTAAAATAAATATAACAAATATTATAAATGACATATTGTTTAACAAAAATTATTAACAGTTTAGCAATATAATAAACAAAAGGTAAAAGAAATTATAAGTTAATGTAAATCTACTTAACCTTAAAAGAAGTTTATAGCTAGTATAGTTTATAGCTTTATACTATCGTACAAAGATGTTTTATAAAACATCTTTGCTATCGTACATATATTATCTATGCGCGGGGATAAGTTTATCTACTGTCGATATTATATCCACCATAGGCCCATGCTCGCAGGGTGGATAAAGCTTTGACATAGGAATAAGTCAATTTTATCCCTTGTCAGTGGATATAATCGGTGGATAAAATTTTTATCCCCCGCTCATGCTAGCCCGGCTGGTATATAAATAATAATTTAAGTTTTTGAGCTTACTGCATTTTGAGGGACTGCATTTTCAACTGCTAGCATTCTATATTTAATAAAACAACATTTCCTTTCTCCTTCTAATCTAAATAAAAACCATCACAAGTTCATTTAAAAAAGATGTAATAAAAAAAACCACGAGTAGCTTATAAACACAATTTTGAACGCGGCGAAACGTTTTCTTGAATACGGACATTAATGAGGCAAATGAGGTGAATTTGACTTGTAATGTAAATAAAATAATTACTATCAATAAATACCTTGTATTTATTAATGAGGTAATAGGTATGCTCTGTTGTGACTGGAAGTGAAGTATGTACGCGTGTAAATTTTAGTATTGGCGACATAACTAAACTGTTTGTCGCCGAAATCCACTGCACGGGAGACACAATCAAAGCCATTCGAGTAGGTGTAGGAAATTCATGGAATCTTATCCTGAAACCAATTATAATCTATTTAGTGTCTAAGGCGACAACTACGGGAAAAGCCAAAATGATATCATGGCTACCGATATATGGCGGTATAGTCATTTCCTTTATTATACCGGATATTAAAATCCAGATTGATAGTAACAGATTTATATTATTAATATCCAGGGTTATCCTACAAAAATCCTTAAATTAAGAATAAAAAATATTGAGTATTTTTAATTTAAGGAAAATGTTACCGAAGTTGCTTGTCGGGAATAGAAACTATTTTATCTCTCAAGTTGGAGCAAGCAATACATATTTAGGTCATTCCGTTCATTCATGTAAATCGGTCTGTTCCACGAGAAAAAATATTTTGATTATTTTTATATATTTTTTGATATTTGTTTAAAGTTTGCTAAAATTAAAAAAAACTGCGTAAGAGGGAAGGTTATATTTAATAATATTCAATAAAAGGACGGAATGTAATGATGCCGTGGAATGTAATGAAATAAGCCTGGAAGGTATTAGCGCTAAGAGATGGTAATAAAAACAAGGGCAATTTAGCATCGAATTTTTAACTAATTTTGATTCAAATGCAATAGAATCAATTTTGGTAATATACCTAGCAATCTTTGACATTAACAAATTGCTTAAGCAAAAAGGAATCAATAATAGGTAATCTTAACTTAATTATTTTAATGGTTGGCTTGTTGAATCAAATTTTTTACCGTCAGACAAAAAATACGCTTCTAAATAATTTGTATTATGTTTATCTAAAAGTAAGAAAACATTAAAAAGATTCTGAAATCTATTAGATTTTTAGAGCAACGTTGGACTTGATTTGTTATTGGAATAATTATCCTTAACAATATTAATTTTATCGGAACTGTTTGTCTTGTAAGCCGTTTGTGAGTCTTTAATAAAGTCATTTATTTCTTCCTTAGGTACTAGGTGATTGACATTGTTAATATTTTTTTTATTTCTCCCTAGTTTTTTGGGTTAATGGCTCGAGTTTCAATTTTAGAAAAGCTAAATTGACATGAGTCAAAAGGTATATTTGCGAAAGATTATTATTTTTATCTTAGATGTTTGCACTATCATTGAGTTTAATTGGTGAAGTTATTCTCTCACTGAAAACAAATCTTTGGCGAATTCATTCAAGAGCACGTTTAGGTTATATTCATAAAGCAACATGAGTTGCTGATGTACCGGACGGGAGTAGTCATAGGCAGGCGTTACTCTGAACCTGTGTTCAGGGAAAGCCCCGCTACCCTTCTGTTTAGATTATGTTTACTGATTTATTTAATATAATATTTACGAGGAGCTTTATTATAATATAGTTTAATATAAAAATTGCTTCAAATTAAATATAAAACGGTACTTACGAGTATTAATACATTATATTAAAATTACTAAGTGTGGCCTTCTACCATATTGTTTTTTTTTTATTTATTTATTGCAGGTTTCCTGAAGATCAAAGTTAATATGTATGTGGAAGTACTTTTGTAATAACATGCTTACCTGGCTTTCCACAAGAAACAATGTCATTTGCTCAGATCATTTCCAAAACTCTTATTTTCAATTGTAGGCAAATAATAGAAGGATTGGTCGAGGGCACCAAGCCAACTTTGATACCATACTGTATTTGTTCCGTAAGATTTTTTTATATCAAACCATTGAGGTAATTACTACTTACGTTAGTAATATAGTTCGATGTATCCAACTAGCATAAAGTTAACCTGATGGTAAGTAAGTAAACGGTGGCCCATGAATATTTACGATCAAGGTCAACAAACCGCTACACATTGCAAATGCGTCGTCAACCCTAGGGATTAAGATGTAATGCCCCGTGCCACAGGTGAAATGTTGATTAATTATGTAGTATAGTGTAGTGTTTGCTTAGTCATAATTGTGAAATAAGGCTCAGATTTCTTCATTTCAAAAAATGTACAATGTTAAATCTAATTAACAAGAACCATCAATTATCATTTACTTTACCAAATGACAGAATTAATTAAAAGTCAAGACAAGAAAAAGATGCTGGGTTGAAAAAAATCCTTAGTCTTTGGATGGTTCTTGAAAAAAATTGGCGTTAAAGAAACAAACTTATCAAGCATCAGCTTAAAAAAAATGTTAAAGTGGGAAAGTCTCATGAGCCACACACACCACAACTGCGATATTTTGTTTTATCTCTCTATGCTGGTACAAGATTTTATTTCTTAATGATAAAAGCAAACCTATGTGGGTTTGCTTTTTTGTTACTATATATATATATATATATATATATATATATATATATATATATATATATATATATATATATATATATATATATATATATATATATATATATTTTTTATACAGAATGGGTCCTACATATATGCAATAAATGAAACCATATACTTGTTATCGCCTTTGCTGACGATATACAAAAAAATGAACGTAATCGGTCCAGTAATTAGGTCAAAAAGTAGAGTTTTAATTTTAAGCAAATTTGAACACTCTATAGAATTGGGTCACTAAGTCAATGATTCAATGAACTTGAATCCTTGAACATTAAAAAGCGACGTTGCCACGCAGTGCAAACTATTGGTATTGCGACATATCGACAGCGGTGTCTTTTGTCGGCGTGCCACCCGCGTGCAACGTTGTCACTCTTCCAAGGGGTCAAGGTACGTTGTCTAAACAGAGTGTTCACTTTTACTGAATTTATTTTAATATTTATTTTGTTTGAAAATTTCACTTTTTTTATTTTACGGGTTTTAATTTAATATTTAATTTTTCTACACTTGTACGGACTAGTATTACTTGTGGTTTCATTTATTGCATATATGTGGGACCCATTCTGTATATATATATATATATATATATATATATATATATATATAGTTCCCTCTCTTAGCAAGTGATTTGGCAACCGCATTTTTTTATTATTTTGATATGTTATCAGGTAGATACTGTTGCCTATCTCCTGTTTCATTTCCTTTTGTGATCTTTTACGATACTCACGGAATGGTATGGGGTCTTAGAGCTTCTAAGTAATAATATATGTTATTTGGTAGGAGGTAGTGATTTCTATCGATATTATTATCGTGTAGCGGTGGCGTAATAGAAACCACTAGCTCTTACCAAATAACATATTATTACTTAGAATCGAGATCCTGCCTTAATTTTATGATTTCTAAATATTTTCATCCAAGCAGATAAAGTTTTGTTGAAAATAGTCAATGGCTTTCGACTAAGAAAGTGGTGAATCTATAGATTATATATATAATATATTAAACACACCCTACAGGACACACACTACAGGAGGCAATTGATTTTAACTTATATATTTGCCTCCTGTATGAAAGATTACCACTTGAGAACGGCTGGACCGATTTTAATGAACACTCATACCCACAGTTGGACCCGGTAACCGGTAAGTAGCACTGTTGCCGAGATCTAGAAAACTCGCTTATGCACCGTGTGTCTGTCAAGACTTAGTATTTATACCACCTTAACTATTAGTTTTTTTTTTAATTTTGCGAAATAAATACTTGCAGTGCAATATAATAATCATCACGTTCGAATAATAATCAAGTCTAGTCCTATTTACCTTTATATTTTAAGACATACAGTAAGGTAATAACAATAAATAACTTAACAAAAACGAGTATATCGATGTCGATTGTTGCTAACATCAACGAAATCACTATAAATAAAAGACGCCTCTTTTGAAACTCATAAGACGAAATGGGTGTATAACCGCTACTACATGGCATGTGGTTATAGATCTCTTATATCCGTGTGGGCTATGGAGTTTATAGTTACTACTAAGTGCTGCCTAAGGGAGTGTTAATGGATTTTGCTCATTTTTTTAACTCATAAATAAGTGCCGTGGTAAATCGCACTTTTTTAAAGTATTAGATTTTGTCTTGTCTTGAAGATACACACGTGCAATTGTATTTTTGCATGTTCTTAGTAGTAATTTTTAAAACAACAAACTTTATAAAATGATTTAGTTTTACCAAAGGTAAGGCAACCCAATCATTAGGTTTTTGTGGGTAAGGGCTGCATATTTTGGCATTCCAGTGGTGCCACTCGTTGATATTAGTGCACAAATTGCCTCTTCCGGGTCAATGTTGGCCGGCCTGAAATAATTAACAGAATTGATTTATTTCTTTATATTTAGGCCCTTCATTACTTTACACGTACAGTTAAAAGATGAATAACTTTATAACAACTAGAAGTGGATGTATGATCCTAAAAACTAAATTTCAAGTGGTTTGCTTAAATCTATTTTAAAAGTAAAGTCAGGTTAACAGTGCAATTTAATTATCGTTTGTTGAAAAGTTTGTTAAAAACAGAGAAATATTTTTTGACATAAAATTTAAATGCTAATTTTTAGGGATATTAATGCACTCAGTATTTCAAAACTTTTGAAACGCCGGAAATGTATAATAAAATTAATAATAAACGCGTGTATATAAAAAAAACCACTATTAAATATGTATTGTTCACACTCATGATTCCTTACAGCGCAGTGGCAGTGTGAGAATATCTACCGCAGTACTGCTGCATATCGCTCTGTGGGTGCCGTGAGAGGAGACAGAAGGTAACACCTGGCGCGTTGCCTGACATGGACTTCAGCACCTTCATGTAACAAACAGCTGCGGTTGCCAACCCGCCTGCCAAGCGTGGCAAATATTGCCAATATCCCCCTTGTGAGACATCTTTGTGCGATGCCAACGTCTGGCAGTGTACTTAAATAGGCTATAATGAATTAAATAACGTAACATAACATAACATAAACACTCACGCCTGTCACCCAGAGGGGTAGGCAGAGACTACAGACTTCCATTTGGCACGATCCTGACACACCTCTCTCGCCTCCTTCACATCCATACACCTACGCATACATGCTCGTCGGTTAAGGGTACTCCTAATTTGGCCCGTTTTCAATAAATCGCCAATTTGGTCGATAAATTTTCGCCTAGGACGTCCCTTTCCGACTCTGCCATTCACTTCTGCAACATAAATTTTCTTTGTCACTCTTTCCTCATTCATTCTTTCCACATGATCAAACCACCGAAGCATTCCTTTCTTAATCCTGGTCACAACATCATCTTGCAAACCACACTCTTCTCTTATTACACAATTTCTTACCCTGTCGTTCAGATTCAGCCCTAACATACTCCTTAAGGACCGCATTTCTACTGCGTTGATTCTACTCTCGTGCTTCCTTCTGCCACACCCAACTTTCACTACTATACGTTAAAGTACGGACCAACACAGCATTGTGAATTGCCATACGTGCCTTTTTTGACACATTTTGACTCTTCACAATAGAGTGCAGGGCCCCATTTACTCTATTTCCCGCATTCACTCGTCGTTCTATATCCTTATCATATCTCCCATCCCTGCTAAATACGCAGCCCAAATATACAAACTCATCTACTTGCTCGATCAACTCCCCTTCTATTCTTATTTCACAAATCGTTTTACTTTATTCTCTATCAAAAACCATAACCTTCGTCTTACTTGCGTTCACTTTCATACCCCTTTCTTTTAATGATCTGTTCATTAATGTAACCATCATTTGCAACTCGGCCGTCGACGACGCAAGGATAACTTGATCATCGGCGTACAAAAGGCATTTGACGGTTAACTCACCCATTCTTAATCCGCATTCTTCAACTTTCAAATTTTGCAAACAACTGTCCATAAATAGGTTAAACAGCCACGAGGAAGCCATACAGCCCTGTCTGACACCTTTATAGATGTCAAACCAGTGCGAGTAGACCCCGTTGATCCTAACACAAGCACTAGAGTCCCTATAAAGAGACTCCAATACCTGTATCAAGCCAGCGCTCAACCCAAATGAGTTCAGTGTTTGCCATAGCACATCCCTATCCACTCTATCATAGGCCTTTTCCAAATCCATGAACGCACAAAAAACCTTTTGGTTTTTAGCCAAAAACTTCTCCGCGATCATGCGCATGGAAAAGACTTGATCTGTACATCCCATTCCCTTTCTGAATCCCGCTTGCACATCCCAAATTTTTTCATCAGTTTCTTTCATGACCCTTTCAATCAGTACCTTATCATACAGTTTTCCCACAATGCTAAGAAGGCTGATGCCACGGTAGTTTTTACAGTCCCGCTGCGACCCTTTTCCTTTATATACTGGGACTATCACGGCTTTGCACCAGTCTACCGGTACCCGCTTCAGTTCCCAGCATAAATTAAACAAGGTGTGCAGCAGGCCTGCCACGACTTCCTCTCCAGCCCTTAGCATTTCGAGTGAAACTCTATCATATCCGGCAGCCTTACCTGCTTTCATGCTTTTCATTGCTTTCATTATTTCATCTTATCTCGCTACCTCTTTCCTCTTCTTTCGGAGTTTCTACATCACTTAGTACGCACGTTGTCTCCTCACTCATAAACACGCTTTCAAAATATTCCTTCCATCTCTTTAAACTCAAAACTTCATCTTTCAGAATATAGCCATTCTCGTCTCTTATAACATTCATCATAGGCTGTTTTGAATGTCCCCTGGCAGTTCTTACAAGTTTCCAGAACATTTTAATATTTGCCTGGAAGTTATCCGATATTCTTCTATCATTCTTATCCGTTCTTTCTTGCTTTTTTCTTTCAACTACTTCTTTTACTCTCTTATTAAGATGTTTAAAGACTGCCTTTTTTCTTTCAATATCATCATTCGTACCGCTAGAATTACCAGCCTTTGTTGCTAGTTAATGTAGCCATGCTCTCTTCTTTGCTTCAACTTCCATACGTATCTCATCATCTCACCATAACGTATTATTTTTCTTTTCATTCGTTCTCTTACTAACACCACATACTTCGGTAGCTGCATCCACTTAACCTTTCTTTACATTTTGCCATACATTCTCCAAGTCTAACTCCTTCATACATAATTCATCCAAACCACTTATATTTTCTTTCAGTCTACATTTGAACTTGTTTCTCTCACCTTCATCTTGTAACCTTTCTGTTTGAATACGCTGTAACGCAGTGGTAGACACAGATGATCGGTGGCGCCAACGCCTGAATAGACCATTAATTCGGCATAAAACCAGATAATGATCCGTTCCTACGTTAGAACCCCGGTAAATCCTTGTATCTACCACTGCGCCCCTCAATCTTTCATCCACAATTATGAAATCTATCATGCTTCTATCGTCACCTCTTTCCCAAGTATACATGTGAATCCTCTTGTGGCGAAAGCAAGTGTTAGTCACAAAAAGATTCTTTTCCATACATACGGTGAGGAGACTTTCACCATTCTCATTTATACTTTCATCACCAAACGTTCCCAATATCCTTTCATAACCAAGCCTCCTCACCCCAACCCTTCCATTAAAATCTCCTAGCATAATAATATTTTCATTTCCCTTACACTTCATTAACACCATCCTTACCATTTCCCAAAACTGCTCTCGGATATAAGTGGGCTTAGACATGTCTGGGGCGTAGACCCCTAACACAAACAACTTCTTTAAGCCCACTTTCATTCGTATCCATAGCAGTCTTGGGCTTACACATTCATACTCTTTCACACATTGGCCCATTCTTTCCGAAAGGATGATACCTACCCCCTGGCATGCCCGCTCGATCTCGTCTACACCAGACCAGTATGCAGTATACATGCCATGTGTAGTGACATCCTTCCCCTTCCTTTTCATCTCATTTACACATAACACATCTATTCCTCTATCATACATCATATCGCATACTTCATCCATTTTATCATTCATTGCCCCATTAATGATTTTTGTATGTCAAATTCCTTAAGAAATTACCTTAAATATTGTAAAATAATTATAAATACATACTGGAAATCATCTACTGGTGTATTATCCCCATATTTTTGCAGGAACTCAGAAAAACTGCAATGAGTGTCCCCTTTGTCGTATGTAACGACTGTCACGTCCAATTTTTGATGTTTCAAAGCTTCCCCGACGACAGCCACTTTTTCACTTTGGCAAAATATCATTTTTGGCAAACAAATTTGGAATGTATCCTTTAATTCCTCTAAAGAAAACAATCAAGAATGTTTTATCTTAGTCTAATTTTGAATAACCTTTAATTTAAATAATGATGGTTTTTATATCTCCCGCTTCCGATTGGGTAAATTTAGGTTTATTCGATTAATTCACGGTACTGGTTATTCCAGAAGAAATAATGATCCTGGTTTAACTAAAGTTAACAAAAGTAATAGCTATTTTGTTACAAATCCGACTACCAGATCTAGTTTTAGCCCAAGGAAACCGTATACAACTAACGCATCTTTAGGATGCAAATTATACTTACTGACACCAAGCAAAGGGTCCACACCAGCTACACCTATCCCTAAGTAGAAAGCAGCATACATGGAAGTAGTTAGATTAATGTTAAGAGGAGCCATAATAATTATAACATCATTCAGTTTTAATCCTACGTTTCGAAAGGCAGTTGCACACCGGACTGATCTCTCCACAGCGCATTGACATGTTTCAGATTCTCCAGTAGCGCCGTCAATCTGCAATTGTTAACCTTTAGATAAACGTCCCGCGTTTTATGAATTTTATGCTTTTACTTATTTCGTATAGTCCTATGCTTGTGCTGGTAGGGTTGCCAATGGGAGATAAAGTTAGTTTATATATCTCTGTTTCCTCAAAAACAGAAATATTTTTTTACGTACTCGTATTATGAGGCCTTATATACGTAGCAGTTTAAATCCGTCCCGATGGGATTATTTCTCATAAATATCAGGTTACATTAAATGGTATAATATCTGTATATGCCTAATAATAAAGTACTATATTAAAAACCCTTTGAAATGGTCGAGGAGGGTGATGGCTGCCACGTATGTCAACTGGTGGGGGCTAGTCTTCCTGTGTTAAAAACACATACCTTTCACATAGTATTTCACGTTTTTTTTTTTGTTTTGTTCCTTTTCAATTTTGATTAACATAATATTACTGGCTTTTTAAAAAAATCTCCTCATTTGGAAGTTGATTAAAAATATGTTGACGTTTGAATAGCGAAATTTTAATTTTTTACTGTGAGTAATAAAACAGTTTTCATTTAACTTTTATTCCATTTCATATCCTGTTGAAAACTGAAGAATTTCCTTGTAAAAAAATCCGTAGTATTTTTTTTGTTTTCATTAAACAATCCGAACAGATTTGACCTTATTGCAAAACAAGTTTAGTTGATAGTCTCAGAATTAACCTGCGGTTCATTAAGAATCTTACTTAAAGAAGTCCCGATACAGTTTTCGCGAAATTTTAGGTTAGCTGTTAAAGTACATACACATATTTCATATTTAGTTTGTACATTATCAGAGACTACTTCAACAGAGTTTTGAAGCAGGGACTAGTTACGAACTAATAGAACTCGTAGCAATAAGATGGATTAGTTCTCAGATAAAGTGCAAGCATACATAATATACAGGGTTATTTTTCAAAGAGTAGCCAAATATTAAAATTAAGTTCAAATATATAAATATTGATATACCGTTATCGCAGTATTTGAAAATACGAGTGAATAGGCTTCTACTTTTATTTGAAATTATCCTACTCGTAAATTGAACGTGATTTAATGGCAACAACGATTTTGCCTTACGATCGACACTTACAAATGTGTACGTGCGCAGTAAAATCAGTTAAAACAATGCATTACTACGCATTTTGAATATAAAAGATATGAGACTGAAGCTAGTTTCAGCTCCTAAGAGATTAGATCACTTAAGGCCAAGCAACCTATATGGAAGTTTTACAATGACTAGAATATAATATAATACGGATTTTTTTAATGATATTGATGAACAGTGAAAAGTTTCGCAGTCGTCACCCTGTCTTACATCTATCTGCATTTGGATAGGTTTCGTACTCTTATTCCAACTATGGCAAATACCACCCGTGTTTGCCATAGTTGCCACGCTTACCGAGCGGGTTGGCAACAGCAGGTTTTTAGATGTACAGATGTAATATATAATTTAAATACTCTTTTTATTTATATAGTACCCGGTTGACCGAGCTTTGCTCGGTATTTTTCGCTCGGTTTTTTTTAATTCGTGTGTTTTGGAAATTATATTTAGATATAAATTACATACTGATGAAATACGAATAATATTTTTTGATCTTAGCGACATAATAGAAAAAAACTGAACTGGTTATTTAAATAAAAATCATGAGTGCAATTAGTTTAATTTAAATTTTCGTGTTTTTAAAAAATACTAAAAAAAGGGCTCGACAAAATAGATTTTCTCAAAAAAAGAAAAGAACTTGAAAAAAAAAATTAAAAAAAAGTCGGTCGGTCGGTCAGGGCTCGAACCATGGTATTACAATTATGTGACCGCCCAATATACCAATTAAGCTATTTGTAATTATTAATTAATAACATGTCAAAATTTACCTTCTTATTTTAACGATATTGTAGCTATTTTTCATGTCATGGAAAAAAGAATTTTCTAAAAATATATAGTGGATTGATATATTGCCCCCCGAATTTTATAAATATGATGATATATATATATATATATATATATATATATATATATATATATATATATATATATATATATATATATATATACACAAGAGTTGCTCGTTTAAAGGTATAGGATTTAGTACTGAAATATAAAGTTATAGTTTTTTACGTGGTAGAGCCATGCTGCTGCTATATTACTGGTATAGTTATAACACGAATGTGTCGACTCAATCGGGGAATGACCACGCTCTCACAGAAAACCGGCGTTAAATAGCAGCTTAGCTTAACGCTGCTGTGTTTCGTTTGTTGAGTGTAAAGAACCGGAGACCCTTTTAACTACACACGAGGCATTCCATCTTAGTCCTCACGAGTGACAACGCATCTGCATTTTGATTCGTTATCGAGGCTAAATGTAGATGTCTATGGACCACAGCAACCACTTACCATCAAGTGGACTGTGTGCTCGTTTGCCACTCTTACACTATAAAAAAAGGCTATAAGTCCCAGAACTTAGAAAAGGTTCTTTTTGAGAAGGTGCCCTAAAGTTATTGTATGCCGCGCTCCCATTATGAATATTTTAAGGCGGGCTTCCCATGTCTTCGATTTATTTTTTTATTCCTTAGACATGCATGCCTCTTCACGATATTTTCTTTAATCGCAGATTACACAACAACTAATATAACAAAATGTACGTAAAAAGAGAGGAGTAAACAAAAAAAGCGTTTTTATTATTGCTCCACAGAATTTTTTTTACGGAAAATCCGTAAATAACTATATAAGGGATAACAGTTTATGATTAGGGTGGTTTATGGTAATATAAATAATACGATATGAAATTTTGATTGTATTTCGTCTGAAAAGATTGAAACGCAGTTTTCATAAGCTATCTTTAAAAATACCTGCAAAATAAGATTAGGTGCTTCTTTTAAACTCTGCAGGATTAGTTTCCCCGCGTGATACCTGTCTGTAGCAATACCCGACTTAGCGACCACACGGCATGCCAAGTCGTGCATATACCAATGAACTGCATCACTTCTGTGTTTGTTGAAATTCATTTTCTGTAATTAAATGGAATTAAATTGATAACTGTTTCTTAGACTAAATTATCCCTTAGAGGAAAATTTAAATAAATAATAAGTATTTAATTTTTGGTCATAATATCGTCATCATCACTATTCCAGCCCATCACAGGCGCCCCAAGGAACGCCACAAACCTCTATCTAGTGGGGATCACCCTGCAATTCTCTGGTTCGAGGCTGTCATTCAAGAAGCTTTGTTCCACTCGGTTGTCCTTCCAACTATATGACCGGCCCATTGCCACTTCAGCTTACCGTCTTAATAAAATCAATATGCTTAGGAAAATTTAATTGTAAAGTAAAATTAAAGCCATAGGTAGATTAATTTTTATTCTAAATAAATAAATTAAAAATAATATTTTCTGAAAGATAGTTATGGTTTCAAAATTAGTTCAAGAATAGATATCTATGTCCTAAGAAAAACAGCAGGGAACGGAATGTTTTTCTAAATTAATGATCATTTTATTTCTAGGGGTTTTGTATTAATAATACAAATTGTTTATCACCTACTTAGGTTTAGGTTTAAAGACATTTATTCTCATAAAGACATTTTATACGCCACTTACATAAGAACAAAAAGTAATTATACTTCGTTGCTATGTTGTTGAACAATAAACAACATCAAAAACAGGAAAAATCTATACAAATAAAAGAAAAGTTAAATTCTGGTATAGCACCACAATACTAAGACTAGGAACAAACCAGTCAAACGCACTCAGATAGATATGTTTGTGATTATATGATTTGCTAGTCGCTTTTTGAATACATTGAACGAGTCTACATTTTTTATTTCCGAGGGTATCTCATTAAAAAGGCGCGCATATTTGCATGTAATTGTGGTCTGGCCGTACTTTGTTCGAGTTTTAGGCAAAACGATGAAGCTTGCGCGTCGAGTGCAGATGCGCCCAACTTTTTTTCGCTTGGTAAATTGCAGATCCGTGCGGACCTTCTTGTTCATGGATTTTCTAATGAAGTTACAGGTGTTATAAATGTATAATTGTTTGATATTCATCAGATTCGTCTCTCGGAAAATTTTAGAAGTTGACGTTCGGAAATTGTAGTTGAATTGCATTTTATGATTTTATTTTGTAGGATTTGTAATTTATTTATTATTTAATATATTTATTAAATTCTAGTACTGGCAGCGCTTCCCCAGACCTCGATGAAATCTAACCGGTGTGGTTTTATTAGGGCATTATATATTGTGAAACGTAGTTTCTGTGGTTATGTATCGAAAATTAATCCGGAGCAGGGCGTGAAGTGACATTAATTTGGTTATTAAATATTTAATGTGAACTTTCCATGTTAAATGAGTATCCAAATAAATTGACTACTCTTAAAGAATACCAAATAATATAAAAATGTCAACGTTGGTGAATATGTTTTGCTGTTTGGTAATATTCTTCTACTTTATCGGTCTGTTAAAGTTAACTGTTATGTATCTAATGTGAGGATCGACTGCCTTTATCGCCATGCTTATCAGGCGGATTGTTCATCACAATCGAGGTACTTTACATCTTCGACGGTTCTCCTCGACACCGCTCTTGGTATATCACATCATCATGTACGGCACTTGATCCAAATCCCGCAAACGTGATTATGAACAACATTACCAACGTCATGGTGTTAGCCCTACGCTCAGCTCGCACCAAATCGCCTGCCAGTATATAATTTAGGCCGGCGCGGCGCCAGGCTTGCTTCACATACGCAAATAGCTTCCAAGTAGCCAAGTATGTCACGGGCATTTTGCAAAGTTTCAACACACGAACACACGATTCGAATTTTTCCATCCAGCGTTGGTTTTACAACGCAAATCAAATAAACAAAGTTCAAAGTTTGTGCGGCTTGTCTACGGTGGCAGTCTATCAAAAACCCACGTCATAGATTTTCTTAATATTAACCATATTTACCACGCTCGGCAGGCAAGCTTATTTGAATATTAGAACAGAGTTAATCGTGGTTTGTTTTTTATTAATTTAGTAATTAAAAAATAAATTAAAATTCTAATTTCTTGATCATTTATATAATAAATATATGTTAAAAAGTGTATTTCTATACTTAACATAAATATGACGCTATTGTAGAATTATATAAGAAATAAATAAAGACAAAAACAACACAATTGCTTCTAAGGGTATCAATCGGATATATTGTAGTTCTGTTCACCTATTAGGAAATTCATGAGTCTATTCTGAAAATACAATTAAAATCTCACCACAAGTTTAAGTATTTATAACACTTAATATATATCCACTAAATACAATACTTAATAACGTTATGGATACACTTTGAATTACAAACTATTTTAAATTCTCTATAAGAGTCGTGTCTTAAATGAGTGTTATCATTTAGGTCACATTTTATATATGTAGGGGAGATTGGGGTGATTGCGGACACCGGATGATTCCGGACGTAGTTGTTGCTAGAAGGTTAGCCCGCTTCGCATCTCGCAATTCCTAATTTTTTGCAACTGTTGCCTTTATTGCATGGACAGTAGTTAAGGCCAAGCACGCACTTCAAGATATATACCGACAATCTTTTTATGGCTTTTTTATAATTTTTGGTTATTTATATTGACGTGTATATGCAGTGATAAGAGTATTACCGAAACGTTACTTCTGCCACCAAATCATAAGGCAAACACCATTAAAACTGTAGCGAAAAATAAATAATATGAGCTATCATAAACTCAAAAGTACATATATATATGTATAATATTCTATTTCATTTGCTCTGTACTTGAAAAGCAAAACGCAGAAGAAATACACGCTTATTTATATGAGAGGAGGCTAACGAGCACGCGGCTCACCTGATTGTAAGTACCACCGCCCATCAGCCACTGCAACACCAGAGGAACTGCAGATGCGTTGTCTGCCTTTTTGGAAAGAGTAGGCTTTTTTTAAGGTCCCAATGTCGTATCGGTTCGGAAAAATCGCTGGTGGTAGTCTATTCCACAAGGAAGTTGTGCGAGGAAGAAAACTTCTTTTTAACCGCACAGTAGTGGACCACCAATCATCCAGGTGGTAAGAGTGGTATCTCGAATTCTATCGCAATGTGCGATGGTGATGTTGACCCCGTGGTGAATACGACAGAATAAGCAAAGAGATACAACATCTGAAGTCGATCAGAAAGTGCTCGATCGCCAACGATTCCAGCCGCTCTGCGCTGGATACGATCAAATGGAAAGAGCTGGCACCGGAGAGCCCTGCCCAGAGATGGGAATAGTATTCCATGTGAGTCCAAACCTGCGCCTTGTAAAGTTGCAGGTGGTGTGCCGGCATGAAATACTGTCCCTCTCTGCTAAGCACACTAAGGTTTTTAGAGACCAGTTTGGCCTTCTCTTCCAAGTGATCACGAAACTGCACGTCATTTGATATGTCAAATAAAATGCTTAAAATAAACAAGTAGTGAACGTGGTACCTAGACAACTCTGCCGCAGAGGACTGGATACCGTGTGTGGTGTCCATGTCTGGTGATTTTATTTGTGATTTTTTAGGAATGTTGTTGTTGTTGTTTTGATCGTTTGTAATTACAATAGTAGTTGATTGGTTAAAAATAAAGGATTGTGTTTAATTTTGTAAGAATATAACCGATGTTTATTAATTATATTGAAAAACATACTAATAACCGCTAATGTTGTAGTTTTTATGGTAATACTAAGTGTCCATAATTCCCCACTCCCCGTACAAATGTCGTTCAATGTGAAACAAATAACATTAGAAATACGTATCTATTTTAGATATAATAATGATAACTATAGATTTAATTGATAAGAGTGTTGCAATTCAAGATAGAAAAGAAATAAGAATTAATGAAGGTGATTTTATGTGGTAGAGCCATGCTGCAGTTTTATTATATTTGTAGTACGAACGGATTGGCTCAACCAGGGAAGGACTACTCTCTCGCTTCGCATACACCTAATCCGTCATCGGCCGAAGTTTGCCCGGGCGACGGGCGATGACGGCTGAACTCGGACGATCGATTCAAACACTTGTAAAACGAAGAGAGCGCATACACAAACACGACCGTCATCGTCCTATAACGCACGAAAACGGCCGATCAACCGTCGAGTCCGAACTTGTTGGGCTTGGGATTTTTCGTCCGACTGCCGGCATCTACAGTGCAAATTGAGGGTATTTATAATTTAATTTAATTATTTTGTCTTTATTCTGTAGTTTCTGTCAGTGTTATCTACCTAAACAACTATGGATATTGTTTTTGAACTTTTGCAGGTCAAAGGGGAATGCCCATTCTTCATAGACACTTCGGCCATGGGTGCCCACATATAAAAGCATATATATATATATATGATAATATGCAATTAAAAGAATGAAATAGTAAAGGAATTGCTTAAAAAAGTCGGAATTTTGAAGATATATAAGTTTTTATTTGTTTGCGTTTTATTTCTTTGATTTTTAATTCCAGACGATTCGGCTGTTTTCCAGCACCCATGGTCACGGGGGACTGAGGTGACTGACGTCCCAATGTTAACCATCAGTGTTAACCTGGAGTACCATCAGATTTTTAGTTTTTATTTATGGTCCGATCTACAGAATGAACTTACTGTGTCTTGAAGTCTTGCAGTGGTATGCTTGGGTAAAAGCGTATACATCGCTCCAGGAATGAAATAGTGACTCGGTGGAGACGAGTAACTGGTACTGCTAGCCTGTGTCTGTTCCTAGTATTTACAGAATGAATATCACGTATTTTTTACACTTACACACACTTACATTAAATTTTTGCCTTGTGTTATGGCGGGTAAGAATACCCACTACACCTTATCTTCAATTGTGTGTCGTCAGAGGCGACAGATGAAAACTAAAGCCGAAGATCAGCAGCATCTTTCTGATAGACTGGAAAGGATACGGTATTATCGTCAACGGCGAGTAAATCACTCACCTTCTCCTTCTCAAATCATTCAATTTTCCTTATAGCAGAATCGCTGGAGGACCTAATCACTATGCTCAATGACCTCAATAGTGTCTCCCAACGGATAATACTTAAGACGAACAAGGACAACACAAAAGTCATGTGTAACGGCATATCACACCTTCGATATATTCATACAACAACTTCGAGCTTAGTGCCCCCAACAACTATGCTAGTAGTTACTAGGCTAGCTAGTAGTAGCTAGTAGGCACTAAGCTACTAAGTAACAACTAAGTTGTTGATGGGTATGTTTACCTGGGACAAATAGTCCGACTAGGTAAGTCCACTTTTGACCGCGAGCTCAATCGAGGTATTCAACTAAGCTGAGCAGCGTCCGGGAAATTATGACAGGCATACTTCAAAACCTCAAAACTAGATTGTTCTCGAGTGGCAGCCTCGTACTGGTAGGCGCAGAGTAGGGCATCCGCCCACTAGATGGAGTGACGACCTGGTAAGACATGCAAGAAGTCAATAGATGTAGGTGGCTCAGGACCGTGCTTTGTGGCGTTCCATCGAGGAGGGCAGTGGACTTGTGAAAGGCTGTAATGATGATGATGATGACATTACATTTTCATAAATGTATTGGGAGTGTCATAGTTTTATTACAGTTATTTTAATCTTTACCTACGACCACGTTAACGTAGTAGTCACAAAAATAAATAATCTTTAGAATGAGGCTAATTCACCAGGTCATTTCATCGGTTGGCATACGTAAAAGACGACGTCGGGATATATGAGAACGATCTAATAGTTTCTGATAAATGGCGGTATGGCTATTTCGTGTAAGTCAAACATAAAATTTCCAGACCTATGTAGGGTAGAGGAGTTAAACGTGCGTGACATCTAATGTTACAATCGCTAATATGCGTACCAGGCGTGGTGATTAAGGCATATCTCTCTACTAGAGGAAAGTCCTATAATTAACAGTTGAATTTTACAGAAATCAAAATTCATTAAGATTTGAAGAAAATCGCATGAAGAGTCCCACGTTGGTCTGAGACTTAAAGATCCCATGCTTATGTTGGACTTTTAACAAAAAATAACGTGTGAACTATGTTACTTGCCATCTATCATTACTTTCACAATTTTTAATATTTAATATTTATTTAATTTAATTATTTTTATAAACCGTTTTCCAAGTAGCTGGCAGCTCTTTTGAATCCGTTGTTGTGACTTTATGTTTGTATGTAATTAAGAAGAAACTAAAATTTCGTAAATTTTTCCTAATACCTACACTAATGATTTTTTTATGGTTATCTTACTTTTTCAACTTCTACGAGTATGGCTAGTACTAGAAATAAAGGAATATATTTGTACACAACACTATGGTAGAATACATGATACCTCCTGTATGTACCTACATCTTACTAACATCCAACTCACTTATTCGCAAATAAAATAAAATTTGAATTAGAATTTGAAGTTGTTACTGCCGATTTAAAAAAAGTTGCCACTTGTAAGTAGCATAGTTAACGCTAATTATTCAAGCCAGACGAGGGTATTAGCACCACTACGTTCGAGATAAAGTAACCGAATATTATGCGAGAGGGAAATACGAAAAAGAAAAGATGTATCTTAAAAGGTGCGTGGTAACATACGAATGATCAATTATAGTGATTTGTAAAAATTAAGTTCTTTTGTGATAATTTGTGGGAGTCATCGGTGTAGCGTAAGTCGATACACGAAAGAATGCGAGATAAGCTTGTTGACTCATAAAGTTACTATCAGTTTCACTGCGGAAATGCTTTAGGTTAGATATAACTTACTGGTACTATATAAGACCAAACAGCTGCAATCATGGAGTCAGTGTATAGTC